TTAGATGTAGTCCTAGTAATCTCCACCCACTTTGTTTTAAATTTTTATCAAATTTAATGGCATTAATTAGGTATCTCCAATGCATCTGTCCAGCTTTTCCAGTGCTATGTAATTCTGCATTTTCTGCTCATTTTATCCATAGCTTTGATATTTTCCCATTCATCTCTTCAAGTTTTTCTGTTTGAAGGAGCTTGAAAACAATGGCTGCAGTGTCCATTTGTGAGCGTTTGGGTGAATCTCTAGCTACTCATCCTCAGCTAGCAAGGTCTATCTTCTCGAGGTATAAGCCCTGCATGCCATGATCTTTCTTGGCGTGTTTTTGTTTGTGAATTTTGATTACGTTTGTTCATATGTGGTGATGCAGTATTGAAGGCCTCGGAAAGGGTATTCATAAGTCCCAGAAGCTGCTCTCGGTTCTCGAAAAGGAGGCCGGAAAAGAAGTGCTCGACGGGGTTGTCGTCGATGTCCTTAGGTCCACGCAGGTGACAATGGATAACCCTTTTTTTTTTTTCGGTTACGTTTTGGTTTGATGAGGATATTGGGATTTGATGCGCTTATGTTGGCTAATAGCAAGCTGTGGTGTCGTCTCCGTCGGTTGCGCTTGCGATTCGTTTGGCTCCCGGTGTTTGGGAGTACATTGCTGTGGATGTGCAAAAGCTCTTGGAAGAGATTGTTGATGGAACGTATGCAGCTTTAGGCCTCTTTTTATGTTTTAAGTTTTCGAGTTGTATCGAGTTTATGTCGAACAATGCTCGATGTTTACGATGTGTTTCAGCTCCGGTGGCGGCGAGTTCACGTTGGAATTGGACTTCGGTGCATTCAACAACTCTGTTTCTCGTCCAACTCTTTCCAAGTCCATTGGTAATGGCATGGAATTCCTCAATCGTCACCTTTCTTCCAAGCTGTTTCAAGACAAGAAGAACTTGAACTTGTTGCTTGAATTTCTCCAAATTCATTGCCAGAAGGGAAAGGTAAAATCGACTAATGATTCGTTGTTCGTTGCAGCTTTTAGTACATCGAAACTTAAAGAATCGTTCTCTGTTATGTCGCAGGGTGTGCTGTTGAACGAAGGAATTCGAGATGTGAACTCCCTGCAACATGCATTGAGGAAGGCTGAGGAGTATCTGAATTCCGTTCCATCAGATACCGCATACTCGATTTTCGAGAAAAGGTTCAAGGAGATCGGTTTGGAGAAGGGATGGGGAGGTAATGCCGAGCATGTTCTCGAGACGATCCTTCTTCTTCTGGATCTCCTGCAAGCACCGGATCCCGTCACACTCGAGACCTTCCTCGGAAAGATCCCATTGGTCACCAATGTTGTTATCATGACTCCTCATGGATACTTTGCTCAAGACAATGTCTTGGGGTACCCTGACACTGGTGGCCAGGTTGTTTACATCTTGGATCAAGTCCGCGCCTTGGAGGAAGAGTTGCCTCACTGATTCAAGCTGCAAGGACTCGACATTACCCCACGTATCCTGATCGTGAGTGTTCGAATGTTATATCGGTTTCGATTCTCGTTTTATCAGAATTTGTTTAACACTGTGTTTGATGCTTATTTTGGCTGTTTTTTTTTCCACCAGATCACTCGACTTCTCCCTGATGCCGTAGGAACAACTTGCGGTCAGCGTCTCGAGAAAGTTTATGGAACCAAGTATTCCGATATTCTTCGTGTACCCTTCAGAACCGAGAAGGGAATTGTACGTCAATGGATCTCGAGATTCGAAGTCTGGCCATACTTGGAAACTTACACCGAAGATGTTGCAGCTGAGATTACCAAAGAGTTCCAGGGCAAGCCTGATCTGATTATTGGAAACTACAGTGATGGAAACATTGTTGCCTCTTTGTTGGCACATAAGTTTGATGTAACACAGGTTTGTTGATGTCGAATTCATCGAATTAGTTCGATTTTTCCATATGGTCTAAGAACTTGTCCTTCGATGTTTTGTGCAGTGCACCATTGCTCACGCTCTCGAGAAGACGAAGTTCCCGGATTCGGACATCAACTGGAAACAGCTAGATGATAAGTATCACTTCTCTTGCCAGTTCACTGCTGACCTCATTGCAATGAACCAAACTGATTTTATAATCACCAGCACCTTCCAAGAGATTGCTGGAAGGTAACAAATGTCTCCCACTTTACCAATTTTAATGTCGGCACCTATTCGAGACGCTAACGACGTCGACGTCTCGTGATTTTCAGCAAGGACACTCTGGGCCAATATGAGAGTCACATAACTTTCACTCTTCCAGGTCTCTACCGTGTTGTTAATGGAATTGATGTGTTCGATCCTAAATTCAATATCGTCTCTCCCGGTGCTGATATGAGCATTTACTTCCCTTACACGGAAGAGAACCGGAGGTTGAAGCAGTTCCACCCGGATATCGAAGAGCTTCTTTACAGCCCTGTTGAGAATGCAGAGCACTTGTGAGTTTGTGCCTTGTTTTACACCCTTTTCACTATCTTATCTGCACAATGATGACAATATGTTTGATTGCTGTGTCACAGATGTGTCCTGAAAGATCAGAACAAGCCGATTCTGTTCACGATGGCACGGTTGGACCGTGTTAAGAACTTAACCGGACTCGTAGAGTTCTATGCCAAGAACAGCCGGCTGAGAGAACTCGTTAACTTGGTTGTAGTAGGTGGAGATAGGAGAAAGGAATCCAAGGACATAGAAGAGAAGGCTGAAATGAAGAAGATGTACGAACTCATCGAAAAATACGAGTTGAACGGACAATTCAGATGGATTTCAACCGAGTAAGAAACGGTGAACTCTACCGTTACATCTGTGACACCAAAGGCGCTTTCGTTCAGCCCGCAATATACGAGGCCTTCGGCTTGACCCGTCGTCGAAGCAATGACCTGTGGACTACCAACATTCGCGACTTGTTACAGCGGCCCTGCGGAGATCATCGTCCATGGCAAATCGGGGTTCAACATCGATCCTTACAAACCCGATTTGGCCGCCGAGACACTCGTCAATTTCTTCGAGAAATGCAAGGCCGATCCATCTCATTGGGATGAGATCTCAAAGGGAGGCCTGCAACGTATACAGGAGAAGTATACATGGCAGATTTACTCCGAGAAGCTATTGACTCTCACCAGCGTCTACGGCTTCTCCAAACATGTCCCGTACCTCGAACAACGCGGCCGCAAGCGATACATCGAGAAGTTGCACGCATTTCTGTATAAGAAGCAAGTACGTTATTCGAACTCTTCATTTTTTCTCTCTCGAAATATTCGAATCGAAGACTGTTTTCATTTTCTTCCAAATTTGCTAATGTGTGTGATGGTGTTCAGGTCAAGACTGTTCCTCTTGCTATTGAGTAAACAACAAGGGAAGGTTGCTTGGAAAGGAAGTCTTGGAATTTCAAAGGATCATTTTTTAAATGTTTAATTCCAGCTTGGACTAAAATGTCCCTCTCTGAATTTCTTCTCTGCTTTGGAATGTTTTGAACTTTGGGTTTTGTCCCATTTATTGCAATAAAGTCTGCTTATCTCTCTTTTATATGGTTATCCATGTTCTAATGTTATTTGGATGCAATTTTTTTAAATAATTATTAGTATTTGATTAATTGATCGGTAAATCCAAATCAAAAACTCATTACAAGATATTATATAATATGTACTTATGCGAATATAAATTAAATAAATTGTTTGTGATACTAAAACTAATAATATTTTTTAGGCTTAAGGGTATTATTTGTCTCTGTAATAGACCTAATTTATCATTTTCGTTTCTATCGTATTTACACATCAATTTAGCCCCAAAGTTGCATCATTTTATATCATACTCTTAACTTAAACCCTTAAACATAAACCTTAAGTTAAGATTTAGGGTTTATGATTTAAAGGTTATGAGTCATTGTTTAGATTTTATATTTTAGGGTTTTAAGTTAGGGGTAAAGTATAAAATAATACGATTAAGCTACTTCGAAAGTTAAATTGATGTGAAAATACAATAAGGACATAAGAAATAAATTAGGTTTACTTCAAATAAAAGTTATCATTTTGTCTATTTTTTTATAAAATTAAATGAAAAATAATAAAAAAATACTATTAATATTTAGTATTTTGGCTCTAATTATAAGTGTCTGATTGTTAAAGCTTAAAACGAAAAAGTGAAAAAAGAAGAAGAAATTTCTCTAATTAGAGACGATTTTGGTAATTATTGTGAAAAGAAATTTTATTTCTCTAAATAAATTTCTCATAATTATATTCCTTTATCTTTATAAAGACTGCATTTCACTATTTTAACTCTTCTATTAAGTGTGTATACCGTACTATTTTTTATTAATCGGTTTAAATCTTTCTTAAAGATTTGAAACTGTATTAGAGTTAAAATTATTAGATGGATTCGGTTCACCACATCAACTGTGATCTCAACCAATAACATTTTTTTATCTCGTTCTTTTTTCAGAGTAAATCTTCACCTCTTTTCTACTTGTAAATAAAGAGTGAGCGATTATTTAAAAATTATTTTAAGATTGTTTTTAAATCGGTGATAAATGATAACGGTAAAAAAGAAGTTGATAGATTTATGGAAACAAACCCCGGGAGGCTGAAAAGAGTTAAAAGCTCAAGAACTCAGCAGCTTGCCACAAAGACAACTATCAGTCCCCCATCCTCCAAACGCAACGTCGGTTTCATTTTCATGTATCGTCCGGCCACTGACGAAAAGTAAATAAAGAATCAAAGACCCGAGAACTCGGAAAAGGAGCTCTTCGGAAAGACGAAGATTAAAAGACCGGCCGATTGAAACTGAAAGCCCTATTAAGGAATTAAAGAGATGGATGATGAGCTCCCAGAAGAATCCCTGTTTTAACCGTAGACTATTTACTCTTTTTCTTGTAGGAGTATTAGTTTCTGACTTAGGTTCATGGGGGATTGGATCGGATTGGATTGCGAGCGAGGTTATCTTACATAAGAGTGCCACTACAACTGCCTTTCGACCCAACTGCTTCCATCACTGCAGTAGATTGACTCAGTGGAGCCATGGATGTCATTGGTTTGAGGAAACCGGGTAAAACTTTAATGGGAAAGCACATGTCCATCGTTTACCCACTGCACAAAACTATCGGGAAATTCCTCGGTTCCTTTCTGCTGCATTCCCTACATTACATTAATATATAACTCGGGTTAGCCATTATTTCGTGCTAGAGAAACACAGCTGCAGTTTTCATAATACATTGCAGAAATCGAATTGATCACAAAACCTTGATTCATATATGGTGCATTTTTTATGTGACAATCCATATTATATAATATAACCATTAAAGTATGATTCAAGAGCCTTCCACTGGAAATACAAGTACCAACCTTCATACTCGATCCGTATTCACTGGTAGATGGGGTTGTTTCTCCCAATACTCCATTGACAACATTCTCCGACGAAAGCCCTGGAGAGCTTTGAAGCAGCGATGACCTGCAGATATTTATGACGACCTCTGAAATGTAGTTTCCTCACATAGGTTATACAAAATTTATCCCTTTGTTCTATGGTGATTACAAAATCGAGAAATTATCTCTTAGCCGTAAAAATGCAAAAATCTCACAGAACAAACTGTGAAAGAGCAGTGCCTTTTTTTTGCATGCATGCATCAGTGTTGGGGGAAGTACAGGTTCAATTCCGAATAATAAGCAAGACAAACAAAGTGTACAAATGAAGAAGACCATATAGCAAGGTTTATGGTATGTTATCTGAACAACAGATGCTACCGTGGACTTAAAGCTTGAACTTCGGGGCATACATGAAATATAGAACAGGAAACCGTACCTCTCATACGGTTCTTCCTCGCATGAATTTCCAGAGGATGAAAGCCAGTCTAAGTCAACAAAGTTAGAGCAGTTCACTCCATCCCCATGTCCAGAAAAGAAAATTTGACCAGTTTCAAGATAGCGATCTCTTTGCACGTCTCCAAACAACTGCCTTCGAGGCATAGAGGGTGTACACCTGCGCAAAGAATTTGAAGATATATCAAAGGCGATCCGTTAATTACAGGAAACCATGAAGCATTAAGTTCCAACAGCTGATTCATACAGCAACACCTAACCAGTACTTAAAAGGGTATGAAAACACTGATAAAAAATGATTAGCTCAACAAAGCATATATAAAGATTCAATGATCATCCCATCTCATCTCCCAGCAGTTTATGGAGAATAGAAGGTTGTAGCCATTAGAAACCAATGACAATTCAAAGTAAACAATGTTCAACAACAGGAATGGAAAGCAAGTAACCTTGAATACGACATATCACTCTCACAAGTTGATATCTCGGGTGATGACTCTGAAAGGCCATTGCTTCCTTGTGATCGGTCAGGCAAAGTTGAATTGGTAAATTTCTCCTGCTTATCTTTTGTGGCTGGCATAGGTGACCCAGTTTGATGAAGAATGTTTCCATCAGAAAATGATCTTTTGAAAAATGACCTGAAAATTAAGGATCAGAAAGTGAAGCGATAAACAGAAATAATCAGATGACCGAATAAAAAGTCATATCAAAACAAAGAAGAAGATGCAAAAATCTAGTTTCCAGGCATTACCTACTTACTAAATTCATTGCACCAGATCAAGCATATGTAAAACTGTGAACAAGAGTCATATAGTTTATGATGAAATATGGAATCCTACATAACTGTTTGTTTTTCATTCTCACAAGTCCTAATGAACCCCACTCTAATGGCTTTCCACCACAACTCAGAAAAGCCCCCATAACCAGAATTTCCGAATTAACAAGAAAGCTTAACATTTAAAACAAGAAATTGCAGGAAGCATATTCACAGAGATGTGCTTCCGGAAAATAAAGAAAGGAAGATATTTATAGTGACTACTTTATGGCTTCAGGCATGAAGCTGAAGGTTATACTTGGGGAATTACCTTCCATCTTCGTCCACAATGGTCTCCCCATTTCTTCCCCTATAATGATGATTTGAACCCAACTCCCAAAGAGCAGGTTTACCAGCCTGGGGCTGGAAATGCCCAAGGAATCTGTAAAAGAATTATTACAAGAGTTGGTCAATATATTAACAATAACACATTTAAGAAATGAAATACGGATAATTATAAGAGAAATGTCAAATTGACTGAACTCCAAATAAAATATGAACGTTTTATTCCATTCAGTAGGATCAGGGATGTCTTAAGTCTTAACCCAAGAAAGGCCAACTACCTATATGCATCAAAGTTGTAGAACAACATGCTTTAAGACCATTCAGTGTCAAAGTGAGACGGACATCAATTTTCACCCTGGAAGTAACACAAACATGATACTGAAGCTTACACATTAATTGCATCTTGTTTCTCAGCATCCATATATGCATTGCTATAGTATCGTTGAAGTGTTCTAAAGAACTCCTGTGACTGGGTTGCGGCTCTCCACTGACCCCTTCTTTCAGAGAATATCTGCATGGTATAAAAGAACAGAAAATTAACAAACTGAGACAATTGTATCTATAACTAAATTTTGACAGGCCGCTGAAGCATGCTACTGGAATGAGTTAAGTAACAAGTATTCCCCTCTTCATTTATTTCTCAAAGAACAAATATTACAATCACAGATTGGAATACCTTATTGTGAGCTGCAGAACCCCCATATTGGTGTGCAAGTGTGTCACCCATTCTCTCATAGAAACACATTAAATTATCTGCCAACGGATCATTCAGATCTATCTTTGGGGTATCTCTAATCCCAATAGCATGAAGTTGATGCCCGAGAGCAGCCAATCCATATGCATACTGTGCAACGTTTGTGCGATCCAGACAGTCTATACAATTGGTCCTAAGCACCCCTCTTTGGAAAGTTGGAGGCTTGAGAGAATGATTTCCATTAGTACAATTGTTATATCCCGAACAATTCCTCTCCAATTTGTAAGCATCATCAGTAACATTGTTGCAATATCTCTGGGGTGATATGTCAATATCATTATCATACCTGTATCATTGTTTGAGAACAAAAATGCCATTTTCAACTCGTAGGAGATAAAAAACAGATATCTTTAATATTTACACCACAGCATCATTAAAGTCCCACCATATTACATTAATAATATATAGAAATCCATAATTCATAAAGCCAAGTGTCAACCTTATGCAAAAGTAAAAATTGTTGCAAATTCAAAATCCCTACTGATGATTGAGATTGTGATGGGTATCTATCTAGACTACATTCATTACTATGTTTTACAAAATGTCACATTTAAAAAAATTTCATATATGAAACCAGAAGTTATTAATGTGAAACACGTACTCTAAGGAAGACCAAGCCATGCACTCCTCGGGTCTCAAGGTTGAAGTGACCCGACAATAAAAGAAACCTGTTAGCATTAATGCATATGCAGCCACTTTGCCCAAAAGTAACAACACATTTGTCGCTTTGCTGGAAAAATGGAGTTTTTTATTGCTAGTTAGTAATCAAACTATAAAAATAAAAATGAATCAACCCAAAAGAGCAAGGAGAAATAAATATAAGGGGAAAGAAAGCATAATGCGCATTAGTTTGGGGACAAAATACAAGCTTTTGATATACCTCCGAGAATGTTTGTGTAGATCCCAGTGAAGGAACCTCAATCGATTCTCTTCTGAAAAATCTTTATTTATAACATCAATTGCATTTGCAAACTCTTGACGAAGAATTGACTCTCGAGGCTTCTTCTCTTGTGTCTGCTCATCACACAAAAGTCATAAGATACCGAACCTTATCAATAAATCTGTGATATTGCAGAGTTACATCAAAGTACCATGCTACCCCCCCCCCCTCTTTTGGACCAAATTTTAGGTTTTCTACACATGCACTATTTTAAAGAAATATACGAGTTTATGAAATAATGAAGATATACAGCCGAGAAACCTTAAAGAGGTACGGGGTGTATAATTAAATCACCTTAATCAAATTCAAAATAATTATAGGGTTGCCATATCTTTTGACGAGATTTTCAAAATGAAGTCTTGTTGCTTCATAATTTTTGTCCATTTTTGACACTGAAAAAAGAGAAAAAGGGTTAGTTTTTCTTTTCCCGAGCAAATGAAAAATGCCTGCAGCAGAACCTGAAGTACTCCCGGCAATTACGAGCACATACATATAATATCTGGTTTAAGATTCAAACGTGATGTTTCTTGTGACCAAAAGAGTGGAATTGAGCCTCGGTTCTGGACAACAGAAGTTATTTCTGCAGGAAGCCCATCAGGGACATCCTCGAAGACTATCTGTTCTGTTTCAACATCATTAGCTACTCTTCCTTTTTCATTTACCCCTCGTTTTAAATACCTAAATACAAAATCAAGTAGGATTTCATCTCACATAGCACTAGTGCTCTATAAAAATGAAAATAAGATTTTTTTCCCATTAATGCGGGAAAACTTTCTTACCTGGTGCCAGCATAGTGGCGGGATCGCCTGGCAATGAGCGTAAGTTTGAAATCCCTTCCAGCTACAGAAAGTGTGGCCTACATTCATATAGCCCAATGTCAAGCTATAAAGCTAACCATCCATCTTATAAGCACAACAGAAACTTAATAAAACATTAGCTGATAATAACTTCAAATGAGCACCATCCTTAACCTGCTTAAAGAAGCCATACACCAATGCAACTGTCCACAAAGTATTCTGGAGGTGTTTGCGGATCCCTCTAGTTAGGAACTCATTCCACACAAACATGGTCTCATTAAGAACCTGACTTGGCTCATTATTGCACATGTTCTTTTGAAGACTACGCATAACATGGTATGAATAACTGAAGAAGAAGTCCTTTGTCAGATCGACCGTGCACAGGAGCTTCTTGTATCTAAATTAAAAATGAAACAATGGATATCATATTAAAATTTATATGCATAACATGTAGCGGAAAAGTCACAATTTAAAAGTAAAAACAAAGGGGGCAAAATAGCATGCCAAAAATTTCTACTGATCACAGTACAGAACAGAACAGAAAATCTTTATGCAAGCATCCACGACTTCTTAGAAGTGGACCAAGTTTGTCAGCAAACAGAAAAGAAGAAGACCTATTCTCATCTTTAGCGTCCGCAATGTTTGAGTCAACAACTGAATTTGGAACAGGAATCATCTCACTCTTTGAAACCGCATATACATTATGACCGCGAATTGAGCCAATCTGCTCTCTTTTCGTAATAATGAGCATATAGTAAGGCCCCAAAAATTTAATAAACCCTAAAACATGGAACAAATCAGGTATTAGATTGGCATTTGAATAACATTAATAGTCCCCTAAAGTCATAATGTAATTCCAACATCCATACCAACAATGCCATAACAAATTGTAACAAATTTCAATCCTCCTGTGGATATATTTCCTTCATGTATTCGTCTCAACAACTCAGAGCATTCACTCTCTGAATACGTGGTAGAATCTTCACGAATGTTTAGCTCGGAAGGATCAAACCGGTCTATCTTTAACACTCTCCAATACGTTCTACTCTTGTCCCTTCCAATCATATAAAAGTTCTGCACACAAACACCAAAATGAAATCAGTTAAAACAAAATTCATTTTCCACTTAATTTAATAGTAGTTAAACATAAAAAAAAATCCATTCAAGTAAAATTAAATCCAAACTAAGCTGCTAACAACGTAAACTAATGAGATCAAAGCAAAGAAAGAAACACTAATACAAATAAACAAACAAATAGAAATGAAAGTGAAATTACCGATCGAGTTTCGTATAGTCTGAATTTCTGCATACACGTAGACGGTTGCAATTGGCAGGAGCTACCATTATCGTCAACATCATCGCAATCGCACCCTTTTGCATCGGATGATTCCATGGTAAGCTTCTTCTTTCTCGCTCCGTTTTCGATTTCTAGATTCAGATCTCCCCGAACCCCGGGCTCAGGGAATTTATCAAAAGAGCATGCACTTACAACCGAACTTTTCTCGCTTTTACTTCTCGTTGAGAGAAAAATTCATACCTTAATCCCGAATTATCTTATTCTTGCCAAATCGTAGTCGCTCCTCCTTTGCAGATAATAGAGCTTGGCTGCTTCAAATACAGCATTTCTTTGCAATCGGAAGAAGAAGAAAAAGAAGAAGAAGAAGAACGACGAGACACGAAACTCAGAGAAGCTGGCTATGGATGTTTGACCTTTTCTTCAATCCCTAGCTTCGATTATTTTCCCTTTCGCAGCCAAACAGTACAAATGCCAAACGCCGAATTACTTTGAAACAAATTGTTATCTTTCTCCAATCACGGCCGAGATTGAAGAGATTACAGAGATCGAAACGAAAATTAAACAATATTGTCTTTATTTATATAAAAAAAAAAGAAAAATAAATATTTTTTAGATAAAAAATTATAAAGGTAAACTACACATTTAGTACCTAAACTATCAGTTTTGATCTGTTTTAAAAACTAAACTTTTAATTTTTTCAAAATCATACATAATATTTAATTTTTTATTCATTTTAATACTCACTATTAAAAACTTAATATGTTTAATACCTAAACTATCAATTTTGGTCGTTTGAATACCTAAACTTTTAATTTTTTTAAAAACTTAATATTAAATAATGATGATGTGTTTAAATTATATAAGAAACGCGGACATAAATTAATTAGTTGAAAAATGAAAATTTGTGTGATAAATAAAAATTATCTATTTTTTTTACTAATTCAATACAAAAATGTAAAATAAAAATTTTTTAATGATCAAATATAAATTATATAATAAACAAATTCATGAAATAATTTATCGATCAATCGTCACATTTAAGTATCATAATTATCTTAAATTGAATTACATTAGTGACTCGCTAGCCTTTTAGGGTGTTTTAAATTTTGATCAAAATTTGATAAAAAAAACAATTGTGAGTCTCGTATTAAACATTTTACAATAGGACTCTCCAACCCATAAAATAAATCCAATGTGACCTTTGGCCAACGTTTTTTCGTCGTTAACCGTTACGGTGGTGGTGTGACAATTCACGGTATTGACATGGTGATCCATGATGCTGACATGGCAGTCTATCTGTCATATTTGAGTTCTCAATTTATCTCACTTGTCATGTAACTGTTTGAATTTATAATCTTTAAAGAACACACTATTATTTTACTATTCATATCATTCGATAAATGTAATATATAATTGGAGTCGGATCAAAATAAATACGAACAAATATGAATCTAAACGCTTCAAGTTACAATTTAGTCCTTAATCAGATTTCGTTAAAATAATTATTTGGGATAAGCTAATGGTAATGAATGATTAGGTTGGATTTGATAAGAATTAATAAGCAATAAAAAGGGGTTAAGAAAAGGTGGTGAAGGCAAGTTCGCTTTTAGCAAAGCTTGTGTGCTTTCCTTTGGACTTGCAAGATTTGGTAAGAAGAGAAGGAAATTAAATAAAAAGTGTGACGTAATCACCGGATGCATGTGACTCGGACTCCTCGCTCACTTCACCTGGACTCAAAATTAGAGATGGGCACGAGGCCCGAATTCAACGAGTTTTAATTTGACCTAATTTGATCGAGTTAGATTTTTAAAAAAAAAAAATAGGTTCGGGTCATTTTTTTAATATGATGTTCAGGTCGGGTTGGGTTCGGGGTTATGATGAAAAATATCCGACCCGACCCGAAAAATATATAATTTTACCTTATATGTTTATGAATAGTTAAAATAATACCCCTTTATATATATTTTTTTCCCAATTAATTCATTGTTTTTATTGAATAAAAATAATTTTTTTATTATTTCACGTCGAGTGGAATTTTTAAGTTATATATCAAGTTGGGTCAGGTCGGGTGAAAATTTGTTATAGGGTTGGGTCGGGTGGACCAAAAACCTGACCTAACCCGACCTATGCCCATCCATACTCAAAATGCCCCCTTTTGATTTTGACTCATTTTCTTTTTTAGATGTATAATCAAAATCTGGTTATATTTTATGGGTAAATCACTTGTTTAAACTATCAGTTTTAGTCTATTTTAATATCTAAATTTTTAATTTTTTTAAAACTATACCTTTTGTTTCATTTTAATATATCGTTCAAAATTTAACGTTAAGTTTTGAAAAAAATTAAAAATTTAAGTACTGAAATGGATTAAAACTAATAGTTTATGTACTAAACTCGTTAAATTTTTAACGGCAGATACTAAAATGAAACGAAAACTGAACTTTAGAATATAGTTTTGAAAAAAAATTGAAAGTTTAAATATTAAAATAGACTAAAACTTATAGTTTAGACAATAAATATGTATCACGTGACCTAAAGTAATGCTTTGACATATACCACATTATCTAAGATGATGACATGACATATACAATATCATTCGAGATGATGACATGACATGTACCACATTGATTATAATAAACTACAACAGAAGTAGAAACGTGATTACCTTCGTGTAATAAAAAAGGATGAAGATGACAACATATAGTGTAAGGGGGCATCTGTTTTAACTGATGATTATCCCAAATCAACAAAGAATGTGTTCAAGACTATCCTAACAAAAGCCATTCCAATGTTTTCCTGATTCTCCCACTTGTTTTTGTTCATCAGCCAACCCCCTCTACGGTACAGTATAAACATCCACGGAATACTCGAGTTCCTCGGGCCGGTATCGACGTTTTGTTCGTTTAGAAACTGAAAAAAGAATGGCTATGGACAACAAGCCACTTCAGCATCTCCTCATGATGCTCGCGATGTTTCGGCCGATGTCTTCTTTTGCTTGCTCAGACACCGGGAAATCTCCGATGTACATGTCGAAGAAAGCCCCTGGCATACAGCCGATGTTAGAACCCCTACCGTTTAGAGTGTTGAGGAATGTAGGAGCAAAGGGCTTTTACTTACTGCATAAATCCTTGCTATGGACAGCTCCAATCTGGTTACCTCCAACTGCAATATACGACCGAGGAGGTGTAATTCGTGCAATATTTTCCAAGAGCAGAACACTGATTTTCTATTGAACAAGAAAGAAACTTACTTCTGGTGATTAGTTGTCCATCAGCCGTCCTTTGGAAGTCGATTATCGTTCCCTGCAATATCCGATAGAGTTAAGTCGACTTGCTACGACATTGGATTGGATAGAAAAATAGAGATGAAACACGAAGGGGATTTACCGGAGGCAATGAAATATCTTGAGTGAAGTAGGAACCGAATGTACTGAGGCAACGATAATCCGTGTTGGGATTTGTCTGGTAGAAGTCGAGAGATTTGTTAGAAGTCCAGCACACCTAGAAAAGCAAATAAAGGGAGGAAGACGGGGAAAGAGGGACGTAAATTGCTTACCTTTACTAAACGCGCACGAAGCGATTTTTCGAATGCACTGCAACATGCGCAGTTAGAGCCATATAAAGGGGGCATGCAATTAGACCATCAAGTTCACAAAATTTTGAAGGGTGAAAGAAATGGGGGCAAAGAACTTACTCTCTAACTGTATTGACTTTCATTCCATTGCAGTTTACCACTAGCCTAACAGTCATACCGATATCCTCCCTGAACGCTCGAATAAAACGAGATTCGTAAGAAAATAGACAAAGAAAAGACATAAAAAACTTCTATGAATGTTCTGAATCCTTAAAAAAGCCTTGATTGGTATTTTTTAAGAAGCAAAATTTATAATTTACCGTCCCTTCAGCATGAAAATTCTTAAATACCTAAGAAGATCCTGATAAAAATCATCGTTTTTGTTCAGTTCACCGACTGGAATAGATGCGTACTTTGCACCCAATTTCCGGCAAACGGAGTACGGATGAATATCTATAAGGGGAAACGGAGAATCAAGCACGAGTTGTTGAAGCACATCATTAATAACACGAGGTAGGAGGAATGGAGCAAAATCCACAAGTACTTACAAAAACCAAATGCATACACCTTCACAGTCTTAATTTTGATTATCTTCATCGTTCTCGATCCAGTTCCAACAAGAACCTATAAGCATAGAGACATTGCTCAAGTTATTGCACAAAGAACCCAGAACTGCCAACATGTCAAAAAAAAAAAGACCAGATAATGTTAGAAACCAATGCATGTTCCCACTGTGACATTCAAGTTTGACCGAATAACGTTTTGCAATACAAATCTCACGGCTAACCATGAAAAGCTTTAAAATCAATTAGTTTACATTTTCAATAAAGGCGCTTATAAGGCATCTATCCAACTGCGGGAAGTAAATGGCATATTGCAGATGAATAAAACAGAAATGTCCCCAGTATTTTACCTCAGAAGCTAAGCTGGAACTATATTGTGTTTCTAATATGTTATCCAAGATTGTCGGGAACTCAATGCTGGTTTTGGATTCTACAGCATGTCGTCTCCAGTTCAAATCTAGAAAAGATAGACTGCCACATCCTTGACCAACTTCACAAGGCTTTCGGTCTATGTATTCTGGCATTTGAACTTCTGCGTTATCGAGAGGAACAGCTATCACCTTTGAAGATCTGATCACATGAAATCAGATACCTTAATCAATGAGAAACCATGTCACTAGACAAACACAATGTAATTTGTGAGATAAAAAAACGTTACAAGTTGTCTAATGGTGGTATCAAAGCAGCAGCTAATGACAGTAAAGGAATGCGTTGGAGTGCTTCTACTTCTCCAAAGAAGTTTCTCATTGCATAACTCGAAATTTTACCAATAAAAAGCGGGGCGGCTTGTAAGCCTCTTGAATCGGAAGCGAAGCAGAATCCAGAAATATTGTTCTTACAGGACGCAATGTGTTTAACCAGAGCTGAAGACTCGCAACTACCACGCTGGTTACCAGATGATATGTCCCTACTCAGCTTCGAAGTTGACATGGTAGAGAACCAGAACAGAACAACCCCTGTAAACTTCGACATGCAACTAAAAGCTCCTTGAAATGCAGGACTACCGGGCACATACAATTGTTTGGAATGGTGCAAAGAGTTGTCAACAAACGAACTAAACTGCGAAAACAAATCAACTCCGAAACCACTAGAAACAAAGGTCTCAGCTGGAAAAATATGAGGAGACCCTCCATCTAAATCCATGAAAAACAACCAATTATTCGGCATACTTTCAAAGTCAGCTAAATGCCCAATTCAGATACCTTTAACCTTTTTTTTCTCTCTGAATTGAGCAAATTGGGTGATCAAATTTACCACCCAATTCCAAAAAAAAAAAATGCACCTGCAAAGAAAAAAATGATGATCCAATTAGAACACAACATGATACATTAAAGAAAACCAAAGAATACAATCAGCAACTAAAACTACTCTTCGATTAAAATAATCATAACAATAGTAAAAGTTTACAAAATCAAAACAGAAGCTAATCCAGCAATGCTAATTCTACATTCATCCTATGCAAACCAAAACAAAAACTGAAATAATTCAAAATACCTGCCTTACAAGAAACCATCATTTGAATTTATTGAGATAACAACAACGGTTCAAAACAGGGAAAAGTTTAACGAGCTTAACCCAGAAACTTCCGAGTATAAATAAGTACAAAATGCAAAGAAAACGAAACGTACCCGGAACTACGAGGAAGAGAACACGCGTGTAGACATCAAGAGATTCAAGTTACCCACGAGAGAAGTTAGGGTTCTTCTCAAATTTTCTCCTCTGAAATCCTTTTGGTGTGAGAAAAACGAGATTTTTTATTTGATCCGAGGGAGCAAGGAATATGCTTGCTGGGGATGTTAGAAGGAAAGCAAAAGCGAGGAAGATCACAGTGACGATAGAAAGCAATTTGTATTTTGGAAGGGCAAAAATGGAAAAAAAACTTTCCTATTATTTCTTTATTTTTGACTTTTTGGTGACTCTGACGATTTTGGCCCCACTCCGTCGTAACAAGAAAAACGGTCAAACTCTGTTAAACCGACGGTTCCAACTTTCGTCGTTAATGTTTATCAATAAATTCACGGGTAAAGTACAATAATAGTCCTCTGACTATAGAAAATTACTTTGTTGAGTCCATGGACTATTGAATGTTACAAAATAGTCACTCAACTATTTATTATGTTCCAAACTTGTCCTTTTCCATTAAAAAATAGTGGTTGTCTAAGCTATAGGTTAACATGATGACCGAGATATGATAGTCGTTTGGGTTTCTAGGATCAAATTTTATCATATCACAGTCAGCAGTTTAATGTTCAGCTCAAAATACAGTCTAAAAAAAGGACAATTTCAAAATATAATGAATAGTCGAGTGATCATTTTGTACGTTTTAATACTCAAGTAACTCAACAAAGTAATACTCTATAGTCAAAGGACTACTTTGTAACTTTTAATAATCAAATGAGTTAGTATCCTATATTTGAAGGATCATTTGGGTACTTTACCCTAAATTCATGTAGGGTATAATTATACATGATCGTTTATTACAGCTAAAAGATTTCGTTAGAATATAATCGTAAATCTTTTGTTAGACGTTTTATTTTTGGAAGAAGAATGGGAAATGATATAATTAACTTTTTTTAAATTTTATAATTCAAATATGTTTGAACATTATAATATAATTACATGAATGGTCCTCCAACTATAAGGTGTTGCTTTATTGAGTCAACCGACTATTAAAAGTTATAAAATGGTTCTCTGACTATAGTACATTATTTTTAAGTCTCTTAACTATTAAAAGTTATAAAATGGTCACCCAATTATTCATTGTATTCCAAACTTGTCCATTTTCGTTAAAAAATTAATGGCAATTTGAGTTGGACGTTAACATGTTAACTGAGATATGATATAATACGATTCCACAATCTCAAACGATTATCATATCTCAATCAATAGGTTAATGTCCAACTCAAACTACCATCAATTTTTATCGAAAAAGGACGAGTTTGGACCACAATAAATAATCAGGTGACTATTTTGTAACTTTTAATAGTCGGAGGACTCAATAAAGTAATACACTGTAGTCAGGGACCATCTATGTATTTTACCCTTAAAATTAAATGTGTGTTATGTACCTCTTTGTGGGCGTACATGCATGGATGGATCGAGGTGATGACACATCCATCTCCCTGAAAATTTAAAATTATTATATATTTTAAATTTTTATGTATTTTTTATTAATAATCGGTTTTTTCCTTCTTAAAATTTTATAAATTTAAATTCGGTCTCCTAAAATTTAAAAAAATTAAATTCATTTTTTAATATAAAATCACGTATATATCCCTACTATTATACGTGCCGTGATGTGGAAAGGTGGGTGTTTTGGCAATTCGGTGGCTTACAGTTGTTGTTTTGATACTATGAATAAATACCAGATGCGAATACGAATGGAAGTATACGCATTGCTTGTATGTGACCGACTTTTACGACCAAATGCACCACCTAAACTTCGGATTGTTTTTGCCCATTGCGACATGTGTCACTGTCCACTATTACGGCCCCATAAATTCTATGGGTAAATTACAATTTCGGTACTGAACTTTATCATTTCACGCATTGTGTTTTAAATATTTTCAATTTTCTCATTAAACTTAATGCACTAGATTTTTTTTTATCACTCATTCGTTTTCGCACTAAGTTATAAATGAGTTTTTATATAGGTACAAAATGATGTCGTCCAGTGAGAAAATTGATAATTTTTAAAATTCAGTGAACATAATAGGAGAAAGAATAAAGTTTAGTGATAAAAATTATAGTTTACTCAAATTTAAGTTATAATTTATTTGTTTTATTAATTTAAGACCATTATAAAACAATATATGTTTAAAAGAAATTTAATCATTGATAAAGTATATATATATCTTGCTAGTTACTCGAATTCGAGATATCTAAAAACATAACATTCTCTTTTATTAGTGTGATCGTTTGATAGTTTTATAATTTAGGTTTTAAATCACTAAAATTAACATTATTCTTTGTGAATGTGTCCATGAAAGATAACTATTTTTGGCCCAAGCGGTGGTGGGCGGTGGCCGGAAAGGCCATTGACGGTTGTTTCCTATAAACCCACGAAACCCCATGTGACAATTCCCACCAAAATGGACAGCAAACAGGACAACAACTGCGTAAATTTGCTCAACTATATATTTCAAAGGAATAAGTGTCTGTTTTAGAATATAATATATATAAACCTGATAAAATTCACTTAGATTGTATAAAAATTAGAATAATATTAGTATATATAATTGTAATTTTAACAATTTATTTAGATTCATTTAATAACTATACTTTTGTGTAAAATTGATTAATTTTCAAATTTTAATATATTTTATTAATTATCTAATTTTGTAATCTCAAAAATTCGTAATTCCATTTTTTTTTTTACTTTTATTGTTTGGGTTTCGTTAATGGTGTAAAAGGTTGGCCTTTTTGGCCCAATACGGCAGGCCCAAAAAATAGAGAAATAAAGCACCTTGACTTTTAATTTGGGATCTACAACATTTGCTACAGTACATATAATTCGTCATCTCAATGTGTCGAGTTTCAATAAAAATATTTTTTTCAAACTTTTTACTCTTGATGTGAGAAAATTAATAAAAAAATATATTTTATTGAAATTCGTCACTTCGAGGTGACGAATTCCTTAAATATTGTAACAAATATCGTAGATCTCCAATTAAAATTGTAGGTGCCATGTTTTCCTAACTTTTCCCCTTTATGCCCTATTAGGCCTAAAAAACTTAAAAAGTTGGGTTGGTCCAATATGTATGGGCCTGAAATAGAGCATAAGGGAGACTTGAAAAGAAAAGGAGTAAATTGTAACATTGTAGATTGTTAAGGTTCGGATTGGGATAACATTATTATCAAAGAAGTCTTATTGATCCTTTCAAAGTATAATGAATGATCCCCGGACTATAGAATACTGCTTTATTAAGTTCGACGACTATTGTTATAAGATTATCCTTTGATTATTGAGTGTTGCTTTGTTAAGTCCATCGACTATTAAAAGTTACAAAATGGTCACCCAACTATTCACTATGTTATAAACTCGCCCTTTTCCTTGAAAATCGACAGTATTTTGAGCTAAGTGTTAACTTATTGACTGAAATATGATAAAATTTAATCCCAAAATCAAACGACTATCATATCCCGGTCATCATGTTAACGTCCAACTTAGACAACCGTCAATTTTTTAACAGAAAATGATGAGTTTATAACATAATAAATAGTCAAATGATCATTATGTAATTTTTAATAATCGAAATACTTAACAAAACAACATTCTAAAATCGAAGCACCATGTTATAACTTTTAATAATCAAAGAAATTAATAAAGCAATATCCTATAGTCGATGAACCACTCATGTCTTCACCCTGATTTTAATAAAGTGAATCAAATAATACTTAAAATGGCATACTATTATAAAACTTGGAATCAAAAGGTTTGCATAAATTATAATCTTAAAACCTCACATAATAAATTTACAATAATAATGGGAGTTGATGATCAGCCACAGAGGAAGTCTTTGACAATTTTGTTGAACTGGGCTGAGTCCTCTATCTGGGGCACATGAGCTGTGTTTTCTATTATTTCCAGCCTTGTCTTCTTCCCTAGAAGCCTGCCATTTCCCAGTTAATTTAATCAAAATAAATAAATAAATTATGTGTTTAGTATATAAATTATTGATTTTAATACTTAAACTTTTAGTTATTTCAAAATCATACCTAAAGTTTAGTTTTTGTTTCATTTTAGTAACCCGTTGTTAGTTCAAAATTTAATGTTGTGTTTTGAAAAGATTGAAAGTCTATGTATTAAAACAAACCAAAACTTATAGTGTAGGTACTAAATGTGTTAAGTTTTTAACAGTGAGATACTAAAATGAAAAGAAAACTAAATGTTAGGCATGATTTTGAAAAAAAATTAAAAGTTTAGGTACTAAAACTGATAGTTTAGGTACTAAATGCGTAATTTATCCAAAACTTTTAAAGATCTAATGAGTGAGACCAAGTGAAGGATGTAATGAGCTTACTCTTGGAGTTCATGAGCCAATTTCAATGGGAAAATCTGGTCTCTGTCTCCCCAAACTATAAGCACGTTCTAATCGACAGCGAAAGAGAGTATATTAAACTCTTGATACTATGTTACTTAAATTCAGATATGACATTAATATCTATGTGAAGTACACAAATAGTCCTCTGATAGGATGATATTTCGTTGATTCTCTCGATTATTAAAAGTTACAAAATGATCATTTGATTATAGAAGGTTGAGTCATTCGACTATTAAAAATTACAACTGATCACCTAACTATTCATTATATTTCAAACTCCGTCATTTTCCGTTAAAAAAATGGCAATCATCTAAACTAGCCGTTATCATGCTGATTGAGATATAGTAACAGTTCGAGATTCCGAAATCAGATTTCATCATATCCAACCAGCAGGTTAACGTCCAGCTCGGACTGCCGTTAAGTTTTTAACGGAAAATGACAAATTTGAAACATAATAAATAGTCGGTGACCATTTTTTTAATTTATAATATTCGATGGACTCAACAAAACAACATACTATAACCGAGAGACCATTTTATAAATTTTAATAGTCAGAGGACAATTTGTATACTCGAACACAATAAAAATATCTATACCTGTTGAAGTGGAGTTAGCTTGAATGGCTCATCGGCGGCCGCAAGGGTAACTCCCTTTAAAAGTTCCAATTTCTCTCGTCTGTTCTCCGAGTACAATTGCTGCATTTTGCATGAAATTAACTATACACTATAGTTTGAAGTAAGAACATGACAACATTAGGTAACGGATCCATTAAGGATTCAGAGTGAGCACGTGTTTACCTTAAAATTTGGATTTTATTCGAATAATTATCTATTTTAATAGTCATACCCACCTAAATTTTTATCTGTGGCAATACCATATAACAATTTTACATGATTAATATATATGTATTTCCACCTTAAACAATATTTTTAGATCCGACGTTCGTTATCTTTGTAATTGACACAGACATTATTCCACTTAACAAAACCCACAAAATAGAAAGAAAAAGAAGAGGAAGTATGGATGCCAGTTGAATACCAGTTCAGCTGATATTAATTTTATTTGGATAGAGTATATTGAGGTTGACGAGTTAAGCTCAAATGATTGATTTGATCAATCAACTTTCAAAAGTTATAAAACAGTCATTAAATTTTATTGAAACCGTTACAAATATGATAATTCAAGTAAGGGAAAACTATGCATTTAGTATCTAAACTATCAGTTTTTGTATGTTTTAGTATCTAGACTTTGATTTTCTCCAAAACCATGCCTAACATTTCGTTTTTGTTTCATTTTAGTACCCGTCGTTAAAATTTAACACGTTTAGTACATAAACTATCAATTTCGGTCCGTTTTAGCACCTAAACTTTCAATTTTTGTTCAAAACTTAACGTTAAATTTTGAACGGGGTACTAAAATAAATTTTATGTATGGTTTTGAAAAAAAATTAAAAAGTTTAGATACTAAAATAAATTAAAATTAATAGTTTGGACACTAAATGTGTAATTTACTCTTAAATATTTTTAACTTTTACATCTAATATAACGTTAATATTTGATAAATTTAATTATTATTTTGTAACTCTTGAAAGTTCAGTGATCAAGATGATCATTTCAACATGTATTAGTGACTCTAATGTACTTTACCCTGATTTTTGAGTAGAGCACACCAAGGTCACTAAACTATGCTTAAATAGTATTTTGGCCACTAAATTTCCTAAAGTTAATATTCATTAACTTATTGAACTATTATAAAATGATCATTAAATTTTATCTAATAATTACAGAATAATCATTAAATTTATCAAATGTTCACACTTATTATAACGTTGTAGTTAATTTGGTACCAATTTGGTAATTTTAGTAATCACTTTGTAACTTATAAAGTTTAGAGATCAAAATAATAATTTAAACATGATTCATTTGTCTTTATATTTTTAGTCTTATTTTTTTGTGTTGAATAATTATATCAAGGGTAAATTACATATTTAGTATCTAAGTTATCAGTTTTAGTCCGTTTTAGCACCTAAACTTTTAATTTTTCACAACTATGACTAAAGTTTATTTTTATTTCATTTTGGTATCCGCCTTTAAAACTTAATGCATTTAGTACTAAAATATCAATTTTGGCCCGTTTTAGTACCTAATCTTTTAAATTTTTTCAAAACTTAACGTTAAATTTTGAACATAATACTAAAATGAAACAAAAACTAAAGTTTAGATATTAAAATAGATAAAAAAAACTTATGGTTTATATACTAATCCCATAATTTAATATTTATATCAATTAGACCCTTTAATATGAAGTAAAGTTTTCTCAAGTCATTTAGTATTGGGAGGTCAAAATAAAAAGAATAAAATTTAGGAGACAAAAGCTAAACATCTAACTATTAGAGGGTTATATTATGAAAAATATACTTACGTTGACGATGTTGTTCCAGAAAAAATTAGGGATCATATTGAAACGCCATGAAACAGCCAAACGGCTTAAAGTCCTTATCTGAGTAGCCGTCTCCGGCAGCATGATCTCCTCGATATTCTCAACGTTAGCTCTCTCGAGCAACGCCGTGTTATCCGCCTTCCGCATGTTGACACCGGAGCTGGCGATCACCACTTTCTCCACCGTGTCCGGCCACAGTTTCGCCATATGGTAAGCCACGAACCCACCGTAGCTCGTCCCCATGACGTGATACTTCTTCACCCCGAGCTTCTCCATTAACTTAGCCATCGAAATAGCCTGAAACACCTCCGACCTCTCCTTCGACTTCGTCGTGGAACCGCCGAAGAAGACCAGGTCGGGGACGTAGACGTCGAAGTAGGAGGCGAAGAACTGGACCTGTCGACGCCATTGCCAGATGGCGCTGGGACCGAACCCATGGAGCAAAAACAAGGCCGGTTTTCGTGGTGTTTGGTCGGGTTTCGGGGACCATAAGTGGACGGTGGTGTTGCCGTAGTCGATGTCGATGGATTTTGAAGTGAGGCCGGCTGCCGTCAGGCTACGGCGGAGATAGATTCCGTACAAGGAGACGATGCTGAGAAAAGAGGGTGCCATGGCGGAGGAAAAAAATAGGGTTTCGATTTTCAAAGCTTGGCCATGAAAAGAGGTACAAGAAGCAGGGAGGTGAGTTGGTTTTGACTCGTGTAACTCGCTATTATACGAAAGCTCGACTTTCTTGGAGGAAAATTCAACGATTACGGACAGTAAACTAAATATAATTTATATCTTTTCGTAATTTAATAGGACTAAAATTTACTTTATTTTTTATAATAAGAGTCATGTAATATATTAAAAATATATTTTTTATTAAATAGAAGATAGAAAAATAAAATATATAAACAAAAAGGTATTATTCAAAAATAAAAAATATTTTTTTAAATCAACTAATATCGTATAAATGATTAAATCCCCGATTTATTATAAATAAAATAGTCATATTTTTTTACTATTTATAAATAAAATTTATAATTTTGTAGATTTTTCATTTTCAGAATCAAATTATAATTTTGTCCTTAATGCATAGGCTCCACTCAATTATCTATTTATATTTTATTTTAATAATTTAATATTAACATCCTTATAAATATTTTTTCACTTAATAATTTATTTTAATTACTTAAAAGTAAATAAAATTCATAATTTATATATTAAAATATTATTAGTGAGTTTATTATAAAGTATATATTTTAGTATAAATATATTTTTATCCATATTTTTTATATTTTATGTATCATAGTATTAAAAAATATAAATATAATTTTATTTTATATTTTAAATTAGAATATAATGTCTATAATTGATATTTTATATTTTCAAACTCAATTTTTAACAATAATCTTAAATTATTAAATTTTAAATTACACATTTACCAATGAATGTTGTTTCAAGTGAAAAATAACTTGATTCCCCTTAAACATGTCTCTAGTCCGAGTATTTGTGAATGTAGAAAATCTTCATCGAGAGACTTATCCACCAAAACTAGATGTGTAATTCGGATCACCCGGAAATAATCAAGATGGTAACAAAATATTATTAAATTTTATTCTTAATCAATACTTTTAAAAATTATTTTTCATAACACTTTTAAAAAATATTTTTTTTAAAAAATATGATCAAACTAACCTTTAGGGTGTGTTTGGTTGGGGGATTGTGAGATTCCCATGGGAATAGAATCCACATTCCCCCGTTTGATTGGCCGATAATGTCATTTTTGGTAATCTTACATTACTAATAGTTGATTTTTTGAGATATATTTCCGCGAATGTCATTACCTCCCTTTCCTTAAGTATTGTGAGATTTCCGACGTTTTAGACTAAAATGCCCTTAAATTTTTTTTTCTTTCAAAAATATCCTTATTCTGTCATTGAATAATAAAAATTCTACGAAGGTTAAATTACAAATTTATCCTTAAACTATTTTAGATTTACAGAAAAAATCTATAATTAAAATTTTATATGAAGTTCAGGGGTTAAAATAAAATTTTACCCTTTCATTAAACCTTTTTATATTTTCAATTTTGTAAAAAAAATTATATAAATTTTATGAATTTAATTTTTTTAAAGAAAATATATAAATATTTTCCAACTTGTTAAAAAAACAAATATATAATAAGGATAATTTGATCAAATATACATTTCAATAATCTTTTATTCCTTTAACCAAACACGGTAATCTTACATTCCTACTAAACCAATCAAACACAAAATACAACATTCCCAGTAATCCTATTCCCTGGTAATCTTTTATTTCTACTGATAATCTTACATTCCGTGAACCAAACGTACCATTAATATGTAGATGGTGGGAGAAACATTGAGAGTATACGTGGTGGTGGGTTTGTTAATATAGAGCAGGAGAAACAAAAGGACAAATGGGTTGGTTTGGTTGGTTTGTGCTGTATCGGGTAACGAGGGTGACCGGTTCACCAAACTCTGTTGCCATCGCTTAATTGAATTATTGATTGACTAGCTTAGTACCTGTGGACCACATCATGACCTTTTTCCCCATTTTTAGGCAGGTAGGAAGGTATAATTTTATGTTAGGAGATAATTTTACGTACGAAGGTATTTTGAGTTGAACGTTAAGTTACTGATTATGATATGATAAAAATATGATCTTAGAATTTTAAACGTTTATTATATTTCAGTTACTATGTTAACCTCCAGCTTAGATAACTGTCAAATTTTTAACAAGAAATGACGAATTTGAAACATAATGAATAGTCGAGTGAGCATTTTATAATTTTTAATAGTTGAAGAATTTAATAAAGTAACATTCTATAATCAAAGAATTATTTTATAATTTTTAATAATCAATAAACTTAATAAAATAATATCACGGAATAAAAGAGAACCTTATAGTCGAAGTACAATTGCCCCATCCATATCTATTTCTGAGTTCTCACTTTTCATAACAATTAGCACTATCATTCATGTAATATACAGGCTCGACTCGACTCGAATCAAATTAAATTAAAATAATTAGAGTTATATACTTGAGATATTCAATAGAAGCTAGAATCGACTCGACTCGACTCGAGGGACAATTTCCCAATAAGGGGGTTCAAAAGGTGGATGTATTGGCTTACGAGTGGTTGAGCCAACAAACTCCTTTACTAATTTGTTTGTAAGTTCATTTATCGACTCGTTTATAAGTTTGCTTACACGATTCTTCTTTTTCTTTACATTTTAAATATGGATGAAAGTGGAGATTAAATTGAACACATGATAAATCTTAGAGTTCAAACCGTGAAACCTTGATATAGTTTCACCATTTTTTCTTTGGTAGGAAAATAAAAGAGTGAAAAGAAAGAGTTGACTGCTGAATATGTTTACGAACGCTAAACGAATCGAATGCGAACATTTTCAAAAGTAAATAAACGAGTGCAAACATAATATTCAAAATTTAAACGGACACGAATCGAATATGAACATATTTAAAAAGAAACAAACGAGCATGAATACAATCTTATTCATTCAACCATGGATCATTTCCACCCCTGTTAATGCATAACCACAATGTAATGTAAGCGTATGAGAAATTGAGAAATTTAGAGGGGTCAAAATGTAATTTTATTGTTACATTATATTATAACTCTATAAATTTGGAAGGGATTAAAATAAAGATTTTTCATTGTTAGAGGAGTCAAAATGAAATCTGACTCTTTTTTATTTATTCATTTATCGTAGTTCATAGTTTTCCGTTCCTTTTTCTCCTGTTGATGTGAAGAAAAGAATGAACATTAATTTCATGCATTATCCCAATAGAAGAAAAGGGTTCATCAGCTTCGTGTCGAAAATCGCCTTGAACATCCCGGTATACGACATTATCGAATGCACGGAGATAATGAATAGTCGAGTAGTTATTTTTCACATTTAACTTAGACAATTGATAAATTTTTAACGGAAAATGACGAGTTTAGAACATAATGAATAATTAGCAGACCATTGTATAACTTTTAATAACCGAAAGCCTTAACAAAATAACATTATATAGTTGAAGAATCATTTTTTAACTTTTAATAATCGAGGAATTTAATAAAATAGTACCGATAGTCGGAGGGCCATTTGTGTACTTTACCCTTTTAGTTTTAAGGACAATATTTTGTTTATAACAATGCTTTAATCGAATGACAATTGTAACTTTTTCAAGAGAGTAATTTATTTATAATCGAACTAATAATTAAAAGATAGGAAGATTATAACGCTTGACCGATGAATACTACTAACTATGAGTATCATTAATTTAATTTCTAAAACTCTAAAATTATAAAGTACTTAATGTATAATTACAAATTAGTTAAAAATCTAAAAGCAAATTTTTAAAATAAAATATTAATTAATTAATTTTATAATTTTATTTTAAATAATAATTAAATCAAATATTAGCCTTTAAATTAAAATTTTCTATTTTTTTTTCTTGCTTTGATTCAATGGCGGCAGTAATGACTTCAAAGCAAAAGAAATAATTTATGGGTTAATATTTGATCTAATTATTATTTAAAAATAAAATTTTAAAAAATAATATAATTAATATTTTATTTTAAATAATTTTATGTTTAGGTTTATAATTATATGTTGAGTATTTATAATTTTAATTTTTTAATTAAATTAATATGTTCATCATTTATTCATTGATACTCGTCAAGCGTAACAAAATCATCCTTACATGATATAATATCTATTTTGGGTTTTTTTAAATAGTAAGTTGATTGATTTAGACACCTTCTAATATATACTACTTTGGCCAAATTATCCGAATGATACTTTTAGTATATACTATTATCTGTCGGGAAACTCACCCAGTAAAACTAGATATACGACACGAATTGATTTGAATTAGTCAAGCCAAAATCTTAAAACCGAGAGGACAATGAAAAAAACATACCACATCAACCACATGTATCAGGGAAGGCATCTATTTCCTAATTAATCTCCAGCATACAATCCAAAAGAAACATATTTTGGTTAGGTAAAAAAAAGGACATAATCCAAGCACTACTTTTCATCACCAAATCAAACACAAAACCTCAGTATACATACAGGTGAACCAAATCTAAACATACGAAGGGATCTCGAAATGAATGGTCCGAAACCGAAATGGCTAGAATACAAGTACCAATGTTACATGTCCATATGGATAAAATCCTCAAGAAAGAGCTCGAAATGGTTGATCACAGTTCCACCCACCTTCATGCTAAAGGATAACTGGTGCAGTATGCCATCAGTCATTCTTCTTGGAGGCCACTATTTTCCTGGAAATACCAGATTTCAATTTGCACCCCTTCGAGAAAGCTTCTAGAATGAAAGAATCGATTTCTTGCTCCTTTTTCTCGTATACGTAGAAAGCTATAAAGGCAAGCGGAAGTCCTGCAACGATACGCTTTCCGTTGCAGTGAGGTGATCATAAAGAATGAGGTTATAGAAGGATATAAGCCTATGGCAATGCTTTGTCCAGAACTGAAATTTCAGGTTGTTTCATGTAAAGGACAGGTGGCAACGTTTGCTGCCTGGAGTACTAATAAATATTTCTTATGTGTTTACCGATATAGATACCTTTCGTTGATACCTATTTGCAGGTGCCTAGAGTATATTTTCCAGTGTGTTCGTGTGA